TAATGGAGAACTTCTTAAATTAAAATCTGGCTTATGATCAAAGAACGTCAAGAAAAAATCTGCCAACCGAAAAAAAAAAACGAAAAAGCGAGCTCAAAGACAATGATGCGACGAATTCAAGTCCAACATCACAACATACATTGAGTGAATCTCAGGGTAATTAGTCAAGTAAGTCAACCAAAAATGTCTTCATAAACACTACTATTACTGTGTTATAGCCCATTTCACACACACAACAGACATCAAATAATCACATGCCATGCAAGTTCCGACGATGGAAGAGGGTGATCGTTAGAGCAAATAAGCTCAAGTGATAAAAATCGATAGCGGAAAAGGAAAAACGCACCTGGCTGCATTCATCGCATGCGACAGCGTGCTATAATCGGAATGACGAAGTTCATCAATATCTCGAGGCTGAAAACTTGCAAATTTCAACTTCACGATACGACGAAAAGATTGCAAATCCAATGAGAACCTTCGCAAAAACTTGATATTTTTTACAAAAAAAATTAAAACCTTTCAAACTTTTCCAAAACGTCAACGAAATTGGTCAGAAAAAAAGTTAAACTCTATTCATAACCTTCTCGCACTTCCTAATTGATTTTACCGGACAGCATTGCGGATCATGTTGGTAAGCCAAGTGGACCGGGCATCTACCGAATAGTTATTTATCGGACAGCTAAATAAATCATGTTTTAAGTTTTGGTGGTCCGTGGTTTCCTTGATCTCCAGGGTAGTCCCGTACCACAAATACCATTCAAAAAAGGAATTTTCCAAGAATATGTGCACTTTTGTAAAGATAAGGCCTATAATGAGTTGACACTGGAGATGAGGCCTATCAAAAGGTAATAATAAATACTCTATTATATCTTTTCTTGTACATTGATCGCGTTAACAAATGTTTTCTGATACGAAGAACTCAGTCTTTGTCCTTTTATCAACAAACATTTTTTATTTACTACCGTAACAATGATATCAATTTGGGAGGTTGCGAAATAGAAACCAATAGAACAGAAATTAGAGAAGCCATCAAAGTGCAAAAATTTAAAACTGGGTCACAAATTTTTTTCAATTTTTTTCCTATTTAGCACCCGGCGCTATTGAAATAATTGAAACCTCGATATATAATTCAGTACAAAACACAAACGAATGAATAAGCACGAATGAAAGGGGGCATGACTGCACCCGTAATGTGTACGCACACAGTACAATACCAAAAGGGCTTGAGAGCGGCGAACGTGATTTCACATTGCCCTACAACCTTCACGCATACCCCTGTCGCATACGCAAATAGAAAACTTCGCGAAACAAAATCAGTACTGTATTTATGAAAACGCCTACAATTCCGCCTTACCCACTAATTGAACGTACAGAACCTTGTCTTTTTCTGGGAAAATCCAATTAACTCAATTAAACCTCAAAAGAACTACCGCAGAAGTTATTATAACTTAACCTGGATTTTCTTATCATACAACCTAGTATCATCCATTAGTAATTGTATAGTACAATACCAAAATGGCTTGAAAACGCGAGCGCGGTTTGACATTGCCCCATAACCTTCACGCATACTTCAGTCTCATATGTAAACAGAAAAATGCGACACAAAACCTACGCCGTTTTAGTGAAAACGGCTGAAAATTTTCAAAGACTGAAGGCTTTGACCAACTATTTAGTATATCCCCTTGCTTACTGGTTAATTCGCCGTTTTTTCGAAAATCTTACACAACTTGATATAGCCTTGAAAATGGACACAAAAATCATTTGGTTAGGTCTAAAAGATTTCATCTCTTCCCGAAAAAAATGACACCCATACACAGAAATAAATGCAATTGCCTAGTCATACGGGTGGAAAGGAGAGAAATCGACCGCTATGTCAAAAACTAAATAACTGATGATTGATGGGAATATGAACTCTAGAAACTCACCCCTTATCTTGTGTAACTCAGCCCCTACCACTACAAACCAAAAATAGTTTTGGACAATTTTTAATCAAAAGTCGGTGAATCGCTTTCTCAAAATTCATATTTCCAAAAGCAGTTAAGTTTCCTAACCGCCCAGTCTTTGAGGTTCTCGGGTTAGAGGAATAATAACTATATGAAAAGTGTTCCGTGGACGTTTGCACGCCCCGCCAGCCACGCTCATTGACCGACTTATTCCACGTACCAACTAGCACATTAGCTGAGAAGGAGACATGGATGGATTTCGTGCACTTCTCGCGTGTTGTAAAGAATCATTCATCAGACGGGCTTGACAGGGACAAATCAGTAAAAACGAAAACATGACGGAAGATTGTCTCGACCGACCACAGTTTGAACATTCGTTCTCCATTTCGCGTTCCGTGTTTGATCGCGAGTCACTGAATCAACAATTAGTTGCCGACCACTGCTGACTACATACTCGTAGTCACCATCTAGCAGAAAAGGTCAGCGAATGAAACAAAGTTCATTTTTATTCCCCCCTCAGTCTATCCTTAATCTGAATTTTCATACACTGGCAGTTTATAAATTGGGCGAAATTATTCTTAGCACTGATGGACCTCCACTGGAGCGATGTCTAGCATTTGCTAACTCCACGTGCTGAGCGCAATGTAACAATCCCCTGATTTCAACTGGGAGCAAACAGATTCAACAGAGCACCAAAACTGGGATAGTCTGGGGAAATTTCGACCTACGATAGGTGCAGGGGAACGATTACCTTCACCCTTCAAACGAAGGTTAAAATGATCTTGAATGTCTCCTTGATTCGAAATATTCAAACTACAACAGCGAAAAGTTCTAAATAGAGAGCACTGATAACCAAATCATGGATACTGTTTTTACGAGGAGCTTCAAGCGAAAAAGCGAACAAACTTCGTTCCAGTTCAGCCGTCGAAATACTCGGTCCCGCACATCCAATCCTCGTTGTCTGAGCTCTTTTCTCACTCATGTTTGTGAATCTCACGTCGCTGACTAATAACGACCCCTCACACCCTTCAAAATGGCGGCGTGCGGTGGGAATCTCCCACCAAGCCTTTTCTACAATCTTCTGTCTCGTTATTACGGAACGGAGGCGCTCAAGACCCCGAGACTTCATTCAGATCCTAGCTTTGCAAGGTCTGAACATATTAAACCTCATTGAAAAGTGGTCCAGATATAAAAGTGCGGCAATTTGGTACCCCCAAAATCCGTCGTGCAGATAAGGTCGGTGGGCAGGAACAAACAGCATATGTACCCTAGTTCCGCTCTACGTAAACATTTGAACGAGGCTGGACGAGAGAACGTGGAGGACCACTTGCGAGGGTCAGCGCCGTCTTGAGAGAGCTCAAGCCAGCTTACTCTTCTCAGCTCAACGTTAAACACTCACAAAACTTTGTCAACAGCCTTTGGATCAAAGCTCGATGTATTCGGCTCTAGTGCGTCAAACAATGCCAAATATGAGGAATAAAGTTGCTAATGGCAAAAAAACAAGTCACTCCAAAAATATTCAAAAGTTGACAGTGACCAGAAGTTACTTTGCAAATCAATCTGTCGATTTTAACAATGTATAATTTTAAGTCATGAGGTGAAAAAAAAANAAAAAAAAAACAAAAAAGTCTTCTCAAGGGAACATGAAGAGAAGGAAATCCTTGTTGTTTTACGTAAATTACATAATTACACAGCAAAGGTAAACATATAATAAAAAATAACAAGCTCCAGAAGTTGGATAAGATCACACTTTTTCACGAATTTTCATAAACCTAAGCCTTTAGAACTTGGAGAGTCTGGCCTCTCTCAATGAATCGAGAAATCAGAACAAATAATCTGTATGGCAGACGGCTGCCCGCGATTATTCGGACCTACCCTAATATGACAATCCGCTGCTGAGGGAGGAGGATGCCAGACTTGGAAAGCATATTTTACTTAATGAGGGACATTACATTCAACCCTTATACTTTCCCTTGAGGTTCAAGCAGATAGCCTCTTGATAAAGTATCTAAGAAGAATCTTTTGAACGAGAAAAAAAAAGAATTTTCAAAAGTGATCAACGTCTCATAGGAAAAAAGAAAAAAGAGAAATGCTACCGAAAAAAGCAATCTCATTTCTGAGAGAGAGTTCGAAATGAGATAAAGTTACTATATCAGACAGGTAGCGCCAGACCCCTTCAGCAACAGCTCGCTTTCGAAATTCAAAAAAGCAGCCCCATCCACACATATTACAATGCTATACCACAAACATAATTTAGAAGTTTTCATTTAAAAAAATAGATTTCTTCACAAAAAAATAGATCAAAGAATTTAGAGATAGATAACAGAAAGGGTTGTCTAAACCAATAACTAACCTTGAGACTGCTCACAAATCGAAAGAGGTTGCTTTGCCCCATTCGAAGAAGGTCGCCATCACGTAGAATTTCTGTTTGGCCAATACGACGATTGTTTACCTAAACAAATAGTAAATGTGGGAAGTATGAAAGAGTGTAACTACAAATGGCAAATCCCCTGATACATGAGCCTTCATTTGTTGTATTGAGAGCGAGCACTAAACGTCACAACACAGATGGAAGATTGACGGACAAGAGGGAATTAGATTTGTGATATGTCAGGCCCCGGAGAATTTGTAAAAACAAGTTCCGATGGCTCGCAAAAATATCTGGAAGCTCAGCCGTCATAGACAATTCAAGTCTGGGCATCTAAAAGAGCACAATTTTTAGGCACAGAAATAAATTTACAAATCTCCCTCGGATCTCCTAACCATCAAAAATCTGAAATTGAAAAAAACACAGAAAGATTCCTTAGTGCCAAAACTATCACTAGAAATTACCACCTGGTGAACCCTTGTCTATGACGGGCAGGGTGATGCTGGAAGTTTTTGGTATAGGGCTGCAATTTTAATCATTTACTACAAACTGAGCGTAAAGCGGCATTTGACGTCCTGCGCTTGTATACCCTACTTATAACCGTCTAAATATAAGCAACTCCCATACAAAATCAAAAAACCATAAAACAAGAAAAATGAAAATCATACATAAATGACAGCAAATAATTGTCAACATGAAATTTTCAATATAAACAATAAGCGCTGCTGAACGATAGCTTTCCCGACGATTCCCACTCTGACGCTTACCTCGATGATCGCATCTGAAGCACTAGGAGTGATTGTTACTATTCCGTCCATGTATGTAATCACACAATGCCTTCCACGCATTTCTTCGCCTTCGAGCTAAATTACAGAAGAAACATTCTAGAACAGGTTTTAATGGCAATGGAATGCCGTGGCATAAAACTTACGCAAATGTTCTGAGCCGAAAATTGGGCCAGCGCTCGATCACTCCCTACTTCAGTGACTCCTCCACTTAGAGTAAGAGCACGTGGTGGGTTCATCGGAGAACCATCTGAAAATTCTGTTTGCTCACTCACTTAGCCAAATTGGACAAAAGCGGCAAAGAGAAAAGAAACATAAAAAGATGTAAATCAATCATAGGAGACACGATGAGCATTCGACCTTTGCCCGTAACTGCAAACACGCATGGACCCAGCCTTTCCTGCTTTTGCAGAATTTCAAGAATAAAACGTTCACTTCTTTGCAGGTACCTTTGATATTGGATTATCGACGAAGAGAAGAAAGTGAAAAAATGAGTAGCTTTAGCATTACTCGAACCCGCAGGACTAGGCGACGCCTTCTCGAACAGTTCTGTCTATGCTCTAGCCAAACCCCTGGCCAGAAAATGATTCCGGAAAAATTAATATCAGCCAGTCCTGGCGATCCCTCTTTTCTTGCCCCAAGGGTCATCACTTACGCAATCGTATATCAGGACAGCACATCGAAAATCTTGCAAAGGCAACTGAGATGAACAATAACCATCAACAAAAACATGTTCTCCCCGAAAAATATATGGCTTCTTTACAAAAACATGCGCTATATATAATCCAGGGAACAAATAAAAACCAAAACATATGTCATTTCGAGAAAAACTCACCGGGAGCGAGAAAGTGCAACGATGGTTCTCTTGGCGATAGAGACATTGCATTCGGTTGATCCGACACATTGTTCGCGTGATCATGAACAATGACTCGAGAACCACTGAAACAAAAAATTAGTAGTACACTGCTCGGAGTTCGCATTACCAGTGACCAACGGATGAGGAAGGAGGAAAAACGAAAAATATCAGCAGAGTCGTAGTCGGGGCTCAGTAACAAGAGTGGGAATGACTGGCAGAAATTCAGACAGAACTCAAGCAAAAGTAACCGCAATACAAGGCAGAAGCCACTGGGGAAATCAACTGAATCACTTACCACCAGGACACGATCTGCAGAACTAAGATGACAAAGCTTTGCTACGTGCTCAAAAGCGGAACATTCCTAATTTTTATGAAATTGACACATCCTATTCATAACAAGGTCTGATCAAATTTTCCAGCCATACCACCTCTACTTCCTTCTTTCATTAGCAGCTCACCCTAACTGTTCGCTTCCGACATGGCTTTTTTCCAACCCAGACACCCTTTTTGATCGAATTCGGTACACTTACACTCTAGCCACTCCCTATCCTCAAACACTCGTAGCATCCCGCCGTTTTTTTAAGGGAAGCGAAGTTACCATACATCCACAGAAAAGGCTCTAAATGAATTCCAACTCCGAAAAAGATAATCCGAAGGGGTCTCACAACAAAAAAGGTAGTTGGAGCACAAGGGTGGTTGGTTGAAAAATATCCCTGGCAAGCCGAAAGTTATCGCACCAAAAACCGAGGAAAGGGCAAAGTTATCAAAAGCTCGTAATACGGTGGAGGATATGAATGGTGCAGAAAAAGAATGGATCATATTACGACGGTAGATAGAAGACGGCTTAGAGCGTACAAAAAGAGCCATGTCGAAGAATTCGTGCTGTATCACGTATTCCATTCGCCAGCTCACTATCTTTTCGACCACCTGAGCAACATTTTCACTGGCAGCTCGGAGTACCACCTTCCTGCAACCTGCATAACCCAACCAGCGCAGACTAACAACTTCTTCTTGTGAAAACAACCGATTAGCGGCCTTCTTCTTCCTGTTTTTTCAATTGTCAATGAGTCATTGACAACTATCATTATTTATTGAAGCAGGTAATACCATCTCACAATAGAATGAAGTGATTTACTAACCGTAGGTGTCCAGGTCATAGGATTGCTTCGTTGACGAACTTAATAGCAAAAGGACACCTCTCCTTACGATCATAACAAACAACAGTCAGAAAAATCGAATAGATGCCCCTTGGAACGTGATTCCAAACTCACAATGTTGCAAAAATTTAGCCCACCTTCCGCAATATTCTTATTTCCTTTAACTCCGGCACAAAAAGATCAAAGAGCTAGGTGTCAATCAAAATCGCTTTGTTTCTCGCTACTTATTTCAATTTCTTTCATGTGGTAGAAGAGGAATCACAACTAGTTGTTCACTCTTTTAATCAAAATCAATAGCATCCCAGTAAATTAATGAAGGTTTTGTAAGTATTCAACAAGGTTCCTTCCAAAACCTGGTTATTGTAAGAAAGGCAATGGGGATTTACCTTGCCTCCCTACCATAACTCCGAATTCAATAGACTGGATGAAGTAGAAGCAACAAAGTTGTACGACCTCGCAACCAAAATCACACTTTTACGACCAGAGCTTCACGAAATTCTATTAGGAACTTTCGTGCAAAAGGAGGGTATCCTAAGGAGAGCCTACTGATAGGGAAGGTTATAACGATGGGTCGTAGAAGAAAAGTCGGAAACCGGATGCTGAGCCATAATAATTTTTTCACGTTTCTCAGCTCAAAAGTGACAGCAACTGACGACTCTGGTCTCGTTGGCACAAGCCAACAATCAAATCACCAACGAATTAGAAATCTAAGGACTTCTAACTCCCGCAACTACAAAGTGCAATATCTGCAGAAAAGGAAAAAAATTTCGACAAATGAGCCAATAAGTAAATAAACAAATGAATGAGGAGTAAACACCAAGCAAAAGATAAACAAAAAGGAATCAAGCGTTTACTGACCGATTCGGCTTTCTCCTTAGCGCGAGGTACGTTTCAGGATACCCATTACCCTTCGAGGCCATCTGCATGAGTGGTGCTTCATCGGCATCGATAACTCTGCCCTCAGATGGAAGATTGCGAAGATCATTGAAACTTTGAGTAGTTTGTTCCGAAACCGGCACCTAAAGGATTAAACAGCATTGTTGACGTGGACACTTGCAATCAGTAAGGGTGCATAAAACATCGATAAACGTTCACCTTTGCTTCAACACGCCGTTTCTGCTGATATTTCTTACACTTTCCAACAAGTTGGTACATTCGAATGATTTCAAAAGAGTATCGCCAGAAAGTGACACGGACTACGCGGCTTTCAAGGCAGGATAAAGAGGATGAATCGGGAAGCAAAGCGAATATCATCGCCATTCCCTCAATATAATGGCTAATGCGCGCACTTTTTCGTTATGGCCGCCATCGTGTCAAAGCAAAGGAACTCGTCTATAGCTAACAAAAAGAAACTAGCGAAATAATGATGAGAAACCGATAATGATCATGCAGGATTATCAAAGGCAATAAAAGACCCGAATGATGAATGTATATATCTGAGACAATGACTATGAGATGAAGATGAAGCGTCTATTAGCACGACAACCAGCACTTACCTCAACCAGTACGTAATCGGCTGCACTGCTTGGATCGATTCCGTACTTCTCCAACGCTTCGGCAAGGATTTTATCACCACGATCGTACATCGAAACCAGTATCGTCACATACGGTCGTGAGGGAACTAGTTCACCGCCATAAATCTTCAAACTTCCACCTAAATTCCATAAAAGGATCATTTTTCAATTTTGAAAGTTAAGTTGGGAGACTAAAAGAGAAGGTCAAAAGTTTATATATGAGTCCTTCGTCACTGTGATTGATTACAAAAAACATACAGATCAATACAATTAAATATATGCCGATTCGGAGAAGTTCCCAGTACTTTACAAAACGTCGTATCCAAAAACACCACTGATTTGCTCTCACTAATGATCTTTTTGCTCTATGCCCTCGCTACACCAATTTCAAGAAGTTTTTGATACGAATTTCCATTTTTACTAAATCGAGTTGACATCGAAATAAACAAAATGAACCTTCAACGAACACAGTTTTTAAGGAGAGTACACAGGGACGAAAAGTTGGAGTGAGCCTTTCAGAATTTCATGAGAAGCATGAGGGAAATTTTCACATGTCCTTGGTCGAAAACCCTCCCTATAACCTCGACGTCACAAACAAATACAAGAGCTTTTATGGGAACTTGCACTCATTACTTCAATGAAAAATAACTCACCGTGACCCATTTCTTTCAATTTAGTTTCCAGCTTTCTCTCTCTTCTTTTCTTCATAACTACTTCTGGATTCGATATCGTACGGGTGAATGAATTAGGCGGAACCTGAATGAGAACCCTGATGAGGATCAAGCTTCCAGTGACGAACAATGAAAAGTCATTAAGGGAGAACGACCCAACAAAGTAAAAGCTTGAAAGATTATGTAAACACTGGCAGTAACAAGTAATTTTATGGGCAATGTGAAGCCAGGGATATGAAATGAAGGGCAGAATGTCGCACAAGTTTTTAACCAAGAGTTTGGGCAATTTGGATGAAGAGGTAGATGAAATAGGTAAGAAAAAGAACGAATTGAATCAGAGGGTACAATTTGTGAGGGGGGTGCAATTCGTGGAACTCTTCCATTGTGCACAAGTAGTCGGTCTGGATAGCGCATGGGGTTTCTTTGACCTTACTCAACATTCTGTAGAGAATTTCTATTGAATGCCTTTTCGTTGATCTATAGCTATCAATGTCACTACCATGAATCTATCAACAGCATTCTTTGCATGGAGCTGGAATCTCAATCGATGAAGGTCCAAAACATTGCTTGTCGCTTGACTACTCAAACTTCCTATTTCATCTTTAGGACTGGCGACATAATCAGGCAAGGATTGCAAAAGAAACAGAAGAAAAAAGCAAAAGTTGCATCGAATTTCTTGTCAAACGTTCAAATCAAGGAGAGATGAAATCTTTCATCCAGTAATACTTGAGCCCACGACAAGGCATTTGAAAGCAAGATGCTTCATTGGAAAGCTCCTCCATTGAGCTCCCAGGGGATTTGACGTCTCTTCAAATTTTTCTTGTCTTTAACAAACGGCCCCATTCCTTCGCTAACAAGAAAATCGCATTTTATGCGATTTGCTGTAGAACAAACGAAGACGTTTTCTTCGGAGCAGCCTATATAACTGCTCACACACTATTTCTTCTTAATTCATGCTCTGCAAACAATCACATAGTAGTTTAAAGAAAAGCGCAAGAACGGAATCCAACTTGGTAGCTGCCAAAAATGACAAAATCGTGTTCATGCCCCAAACCAAAGGAAAACGTGTGGAACGACGGTACTTTGCGAAAAAAAGCAAGAATCTGTTCAAGCCATGGCTGAATGG